AACACTCAGCTTCTTTAAGGGAAGGCTTTCTGGTTCATGCTGGCAGCATAAACTCTGGTTCTTTTGAGAGGTCCTGCACTTAAATGGGTTTTGTGGGCAGCATGCTGTAAGTTGCTTGATGGTGGCATGGGACAACTGCTTCCCAGAGTTGAGGTGGTGAGCATGGCTCCCGCCCGGCGGTCTCAGAGCTGGAGGTGAACTACCACCACCATGTTAAAGGCCGAGAGAGGTGGAGCCAGGAGCCAGGGCTGCCATGACCACAATGCTTACCATTTTAAAATGCTGCTTGTCAGAAAAGGATTTCAGATACACAATAGGACACATTCAGACATAAAAGACGTCTAAATGAGACACAGTGTGCTTAAAAATGTACATAGGCTTGGGAGAGAGAAGAAAAAAGTATAGATAAAACAAAATCTTTAAAGAGACAGTAAAAGTAATGTTTGTGCAACACGTTTAAAAATGTAATGTATAATTAAGAATTACAGATTAATCGATAGTCATCTATAATATAGTCATATTAGGTTTTCTAGATATACAAAGATATATTTCAGGTGGATAGGTATTCTTCAGACCTTTCAAAGACCTACAAAATATGACATTTAAAAGATTTTAAAAACTTAAACTTTTCTCAACAGTGAAACTTGTCTGCGTCTGGCAGCACCAATTACTTCAGAGAAGCTGATGGACATTAAAGAAACTCGTTATGGAATTTGTCTTCAATGTGGCAAGGTTAGCCATCTTGGCAAGAAACTGCTCTTGCCTGGACTGCTTGATGGTCTGCTGTATGAACTGGACATGCAGGACCCACAGAAAAGTGACTGCTAAACTTTCCAAAAGATGGGATTGTCCTTCAGGGTTCCTGCTTCATAGAAAAACTGCCAGACATTCTGTAGGATACAGAAGAAAGTGACTGACAAACTGCCAAGATAGGCAAAACAGTCTCTCAAATTTCCTGCATCATGAAAAAGTCTGCCAGATACTATGGGCCTGTAGGCTGAAGATGGATACCCCAACACTGCAGAGGAACTTTGCGTGACTGTCCAGGCAGCAAGATATCTCTGTTAATTCTAGAGTTTTGGAAGTTGTTTACAATGTATTTCCTGATTACTTAGGTAATATTATATCCTTCTGGGGTCTTTAAAGAGTTAAAGACAGATAGTTATAGTTTTGCTTAGTTATGATAAAGGTTAAATTAGATATAAAGCTTTAGACACACAAAGATAGGATAGATGATAGAGTATTTTCCTTATTTTGTCACATGTAAATGAACTAAATATTGTAACTGTAATTCTTGCTTTATAGATATTTTGTATATGTAATTATACTATGTTAAAGTTAAAGCCTTCCTCTTTAATTAGACAGAAAAGAGCAAATGATGTGAGATGTCCTTCTGTATATGTGTTGATTTATTGGTTGATGAATAATGCTGCTTCAGTCTATGGCACAGCAGAATGAAGGCAGGCAGGAAATCCAAACAGAGATCTAGGTAGAGAGTAGGCTGAGTCAGGGAGATGCCATGTAGTTGCTGAAGGAGAAAGACGCCAGCTAGAACCTTATCCAGTAAGACACAACCTCATGGTGATACACAGATTAATAAAAATGGGTTAATTCAAGATGTAAGAGCTAGCTAAAAATATGCTTGAGTCATTGACCAAACAGTGTTATAATTAATATAGTTTCTGTGTGATTATTTGGGTCTGAGTGGGCGGGAAATGAACAAGCAGTCTCCACCTAAAGCCCTGGGTTTCGTGTGTGCATGTGTGTGTGTGTGTGTGTGTGTGTGTGTGTGTGTGTGTGTTTGCATGCACATACACAGGGGATTTGAAATTAATTTGAGGTTCTGGCTGTATCATTTCCTGACTCAAGTTCCCTAACCTCTTTAAGTCATAATCAATATTAGAGACATTGATGTGGTGTTGCAAAGAATAAATAAGGTGATACATGAGAAGTGCTTAGCCCAGTGCCTTTCACACAAGAAAACCCTCCTGTGTTATTCCATATTCATATTGGAGTTGAGATAATTGTCAGCTTCCCCATTGTATTAGCTAATAAAGAATGTCATTGCTACTGTCACATGGCTCAATGAAAAATGCTATGGAATATGGGTAGGGATCCCAGGTTCACATCTCAGCTTTATCACTGAGCAGCTCTGTGGCCTTGTCCAAGTCATCTTTTACCTCTCCGAACTTCTCTTGTTTCATCTAAAATGGGCAGACAGCATCTTTCCTTTTATATCTTAAAGTCTCCTAAAGAAAACCAAGTGCTCTGTGAACTGCCCATTTCCATGTGATAATTGGAAGGTGTTATTCCACTCTCCTCTGATTTATCACATGAATTTAACAAGAAATGCTCTAAGTTTCAGAGGCTTACTGATCAACATTAAGAGTGAATTAATTATGAAGAAAGCGGCCAAAAATAACACAAGAATCGCGATTGAAGGAAGCAGCTGGGCGGCAATCTAAATGAACTCCAGTAGTTGAAATAATGGAAGAACTGAAAACAACCTAACCTGCAACATGTGACCACAGAAACATTTACCCTTCAGGGGCATGAGGCTGGGCTTTTATATCTTCTTTTCCTTTAACCCATTCCATCCTGTTCACAAGTGAGAAAATGTACTGATCCTGTGTGCGTGATTTCTTTACCATACAATTACTTTTCCTCTTAAACGCAATACTGAAGGAAAAAAAGAGTTCCATCACTGCATTATGGCTGGAGATGACCAAAGTTCTGGGGATGATGGGGTGCTGGGAAGCATTAGGCAAGGAGATCCCCTGGTTAAAGTGTAAGATGAATTATGCCCTGCTCAGTAGTAATATCTACTAGGGGATGTTTAGATTCCTCTGCATGACAAACACTGAGATCAGACACAGTCACATGTCGCATGTGACATCCTGAGATACCTGTTCATACTCGCTGTCTTTCTTGCTTAATGTAAAGACCTGGAGACCCCGTACTAGGGTAGAAGCCTAAGTCGTGCGGCGGGGGGGGGGGGGGGGGGGCGGTAATCCGGGAGGAAACTACGTGCTTTGCAGACTGGAGCTGAAACATACTGGGAACCCCACTCTCCACCAAAGTACTTGAGGGAGGAAGAAACTGCAGAGGCAACTGCTTAAGCAAGCCTCCCATTTCCAACCCAGGGCACTCTAGGAAAGCAAGCCTGAGCACCTAGGGCAATAATTGATGACATGCATTTCCCCATTCCGCCAGCAGAGGGAGCTGAGAGAAGAAAAAGCCATTGTTTACTCCAATCTATCTAGATGTTGTCTATTCTGTTTAGTTTTCTGCGTGTTATTCGGTGAGAAGGCGCTGGGGAAGCATTTGGGGATAGGAGTTAGGGGCCAGAATGGGTAAGTTGAGCAACCTATCTGGTTAAAGAATCTTCTACCCAGGCTAGTTTGTTTCCCAATGCCTATGAGAGTCGCTTCTTTAAAAACTGCGTGCTGCCAACTACACGCCCCTGGGGTTTACCATAGTAAAGTAACAAGTGTGGCGTCATGACAGAGTAGAGGCACTCATGTCTGGGGATAATTAGGAATTACACTGTAATACCAAAGACTTGACTTTTACCTGACGGCCCAATAACTACCTTATAGCAGCCCGCCTCAACGTAGTTCGATTTGAGGATCTGGGTTTTGTTTTTGAGACACAAAATCCATAAAAGGATTGATGACTAAACCAAGTATGATACGTACAAGCAAAGGACAATGGCTCAGCCTTGAACAGGAATGAAGCTCTAATGCACGCTACAACATGGATGAACTTCAAAACCAATATGCTAAAGAAAGAAGCTATCGATAAAGACCTCATAGTATTCATTCCACTCCTATCAAATAGAAAACTAAAGACAGAGAAATTGAATTGGTGCTGTCAGGAGTTGCTAGAAGAGAGGAAAGAGGGGCCACTGCTTCACAGGTTTCCATTTGGGAGAGTCAAACAAACTCTGGACCCAGATAACGATGGGGGGCTTCATAATCCCACCAAATCATACTCTAAAATAGTTTGCATGATTGATTTTATGCGAACCACATTTTCCCACAATAAAAATAGTTTCTAATCTAATCCTTCCACCAACTCAGACTGCCCATTTCAATCCATCTGATTTAGTGGTGCTCTGCAGAAAATAGTCATAACCAATTTCATAAATTAATGATTTCCCATTCACTTACTATCAGTCTGTGCTTTAACTTTAGTCAAACCTAATTTTGGTCTAACCTAATTTTGGACATCGGTAGCCAAAGGCTGCTTTTCTCCATGCAACCTTTTTTTTTAAGTCAGGGCCTTACAAATCTAAGCAAGTATAAAATATCTGGGCTACGTTCCCAGGTGCTTTTACAGGATCTTTTAGCAACAAAATAGTGTTGCTCCAGCAGGCTAGTTGGTTTTGGAATAAATTATGTTTCTGTTCACTTTTAGTTCCCAGTATTAATGGCTCCAAATTCTAAATCAATCTAAGTTCACAACAATGAATTAAGATAAACACAAATTAATTTGAGAATGGAGCTGTTAATATGAATACAATCTACTAATTTGCCAATTGTTAATAGATACTATTTGGTTGGCAGATCTAAACATACAAAACACGTATGTATGTATGCCAACTCACTTTTATTATGGTTGGTTATTAGGAAATAATATTGTATTACTTAACCTCTGACTTTGTATTGAAAAGTGCATAGTGTTTATTCATTAAAGAATCTCTATTTTAGTTTTCATAAAACAACTGAAGGTATACACAAACTATTGTGTATTTCAGAAACAATATCTTCCATTGTTTATGAGTTAAACTGATGATTATTTGATTTGTATGATTGAATGGAAAATGTAAATCATTTTTGATGCAAATCAAAAACCAAGAGTGGCAATTTCTTTCCCAAAGTACCACTCTGGTTTGCCCCTGGAGTTGAGGCATGGCAAATAGAAACTAGAACAAGAAATGATGACTTTGATGGGTGGCCACTCTCAAACCTATCCCTGAGAGTAGAACTAAAATTCACCTTGCTCCATGTCGCTGAATGTTGTGCTGAAAACTTCTTTGGGGAGCCCTTGGATATCTTGTCACTGGCAAAGTCTATTTCCAAGTCCTTAAAGTCTTTCTTAGCTTGGGTAGCACTGGAACTGATACTGGGTCTCTGTGACTGCAGTGGTGGGATCTGTTAAAAGGAGAATAGAAGAGGTTCAAGCTTAGGCATTCCCCCCTCCCCCGGCTACTGGTGTTCTTTTGTTCCTTAACCAGGTGAAAGACTGACAGGCCAAAAAAAAATGACACATATAAAAAATGTCATCATAAAATCTAGCATTATGTAAAATTAATAGATTCTAATACGGACTGGGAGATGACTCAGTAGATAAAAGTGCCCACTATGCAAAGACGAGGACCTGAGTTCAAATCTCTAGAACTTATGTAAAATTAGAATGGGTAGAAGAAGCACCTGTAATGCCACTGCCTCGATGGCAAGATGGGAGTCAGAGATAGGAGAATCTCTGAAAAGTGGCCTGATGGATACAATAGAAAAACAGCAAAGAACCCCTGCCTGAAACCAAGGGGGTTGAAAGGCAAGAATAGACACCTGAGGTTGTGAGTTTGTCCTCTAACTATTACAAATGTGCCTTGAATGCGTGCACATCCACACACGTTGAATGTGTGTGTGTGTGTGTGTGTGTGTGTGTATACATGTGTCTAATGTGAGCAATGCCCATGGAGTCTCTGTAGATCAATGTCTAAGCTGAAAGTGCTGTGTGGTAGTTTGATTAAGAATGGCCGCCACAGGCTCAAATATTGGAATGCTTAGTCATCGGGATATGTGTGTGTGTGTGTGTGTGTGTGTGTGTGCGCGCGTGGATATATACATATGTGTTTATGTGGGTAGACATGAATTGTCTATATGTATGTATACCTTTATTTATGTATTTATATATAAATATGTATATATGTGTGTGTGTGTGTATAAAATAACAACTGAGAAATAGGTTCAAGAAAGAATCTCCTGCCTCCTTGACTTCACGTCTAATACCTACTTAAATCAACGACCAGCAGCCTTGGGTTTACCTCTGGGTTTCTGCACACCTTTGCCAATCCCCAAACAAAGTCAGAAGTATGCTTAATTAAAGCCAGAGTCTTGGTTTTAGGCCCTTCTGGATTCTGTCTAGAAAGCTTGCTTCATTCTGATCTTTCTTTCAGTATTGGCTGTGTCTTTGGAGCCTAGTGCTTACAGAAGCAAATCTTGAGATTATGATCTGAGATTGACTTCCACACTACATATAATCACTAGTCCTTTTACTCCAAGAATTGTCTGGCCTGGATCTTAACAATATTCACTTCTTGTCTTCATATTATTAAGATTGATCTTTCTGGGAATGCTAAACAAAAATCTAGAGATTCATGCTCAGCAAGACTGTATCATTGAGACTGGATATAAGACTCAACGGTACAGTTTTGATGAGCATGAATGAAAGGCTTTAGGTTTGATCTTTAGCATTAGATAAATAAATAAAATCTGAAACCTGTAGTTCTTGGCTTTTTGGAGACCTTTCCCTATGGTGGGATACCATGCTCAGCCTAGATACAGGAAGGAGGGCCTTGGTCCTGCCTCAACTTGATATGCCAGGCTTTGTTGACTCTCCATGGGAAGCCTTATCCTCTCTGAGGAGTGAATGTGAGGTGTGGAGGAGGTGGGGGAAAGTGGGGGGGAGAAAACAGAGGGGGAAACTGTGGTTAGTATGTAAAATGAATTTTAAAAATAAATAAATAAATCTTTAAAAAATAAAATGTATAGTTCAATCTTTAATTTTATAAACAAAGATAAAAAATGGTCTGTTTGTGGCATAGACTAATTTCAGACTAATGACCATGATACAAGAGGACCATGGCCAGGCAAGTGCATCATGGTCACTAGACTATAGATTTTAAATTTTATTTATCTATTTGTTCATCTGTTGTAGGAGATCAAAGCGAGAGCCTCTCATTGGTGCTCAGCAAGACGGCATCATTTGCAGCTTGCCTCACCCAATCCTATGAACTGGGCTACAATAACTCATGAAACATGGCTCTTTATTGTTTAGAGTTAATATTTCTTGCTTCTGTCTAAGGGTCTGCATAGCTCAGGACGTAGAGCCTCCAGACATTAGCCAAAGAAAAATAGACACGATAGAGGTTTGCCAAGATTTTGCTCCCGGATAACTCCTGGCTAGGGTTTCTGGTACTCCTTTATTGCTGCCAGTCTTTACTGGGAATTTAGGAACTAAGCCTAAATCAACTATTGCTACAATCAACCATCCCTAAGTATCGGCGAATCAATCCCACACCAGTTATGTTTTAAGGGGTTATTTATTTTGGGGGGTAAAACTTACATACACCATAAACCGTCAGGAAGGGAACCTAGTCGCTGGAGCAGGAGCCGGGAGCAGGAGCCGGGAGCAGGAGCCGGGACCAAGCACCGGAACCAAGAGCCGGAACCAAGAGGGCCTGATCCGGATCTGCTTCTCTTTTCAAAAGAGAAATATACCACGCCCCAGTGGGCTGGTATTTCAGCAGCTATTGGCTGACGGAGTGGAAGTCGCTCCCCGCTGCACTGTGGGCTCATATTTCAGCGACTATTGGTTGAGGCAGCTGAAGTTACTCCCACAACACCTAAGGCCAGGTCTAATGATAATAGTTACAAATGACGACAAATGACTTTCACTAATGGATGATAAAATGCCAGGCAGTGAGAAATCTCCGCGGGTGTAGCTCATTTAAAAATCACAGTTCTTAGAAGTGTTTGCTAGTATGAGCTCCATTATCTGGTGGTGGGAAATGAGATTTGAGAGATGATGTAACGGATCATAGTTCTACCAGTTATAAGGCAAGTATTTGGAATCTCTTGCCAAATTGATAGCTTGTGTTCTTACCCACTATGCACTCTTGTTTCCTCACCAGCAATAAGTGCCAAAGATGGGAGGTCCCATATTGAAGGGCATGTTTAGGAAGCTGAAAGGCAACAGGAAGAGCCAATGGTCTATTTGCTCCATTTAGAAGGACTGCAGAAGTCTGTAAATGTGGCTCAGTGGTTAAGAGCACTGACTGTTCCTCCAGAGGACCCGGGTTCAATTCCCAGCACCCACATTGCAGCTCACAACTGTCTATAATTCCAGTTCCAGGGGACCCAACACCCATGGCAAAATATAAATACACATAAAATAAATATTTAAAAAATGAAAGAAAGAAGAACTGCAGAAGGAGGGTTGGGCCTGAGAGCAGTAAGAAAGTTGTTTCTTACAGGGTTTTTTAAATGATAAACTCAACGGCAGGAAGATGCTGTTAATACACTATCACATCTTAACTGTTTGCAATCAAATAACGAAAGCCTCATCTAAGCACACATTTTCCCAGCACATCAAAGAGAGCATTGGGTGAATGTCTGGAAGTGAAGAAACTTGGCTTCATTTTAGTATTTGGAACACAAGTGGATACCTGGATTTCCCCTCTCCCACTCTTTAGATGCCACGAAGGTCATTTATGAACCACTAAGAACCCTGCTCTGGGGCTGGAGGGATTGCTCAGCAATCAGGATCCACATCAGGCAGCTCACAACAGCCTGTAACTCCAGCTCCAGAGGAATGCAACACCTCTGACCTCTGTGGGCAATTGTACTTATGTGTACATACCCCCACACACATATAGACACATATAGATATTTTTTAAATTTAAAAATGAACCCAAACTCTTCAAGGGACCCAGACACTGGACAATTCTATACTTCCAGCAGGATCTCTGGAGCCCTGCGTGCTAGAAGCCTTGATTCTTTTAGTTTTGTGTGTGTATGTGTGCTTAGTGCTTTGAGACAAGGCCTCAAAACATACTCCAGGGCAATCTGAAATTCACTGTGTAGAAGAAACAAGTCTTGAACTTATGATCCTCCTGCCTCAGCATCATAAATGTTTATATTATAAAAACGTGATAGCCACCTTGCTGGGCATCTGGGACACTTGCCATCAACTAACCTTCATGAAGTGCGGTCATCTTGGCACTTGAGAGTTTTCTACCCAGAGGTTAAAATGGACATTGAGGATTTATTGTCACTTAGCCTAGTTGGCTTACACACACACACACACACACACACGCACACACACACACACACGCACACACACACATAACTTGACACAAGCCAGAGTTACCTAGAAAGAGAAACCTCAATTGAGAAAATGCTCCTACAGATTGCCTGTAGACAAGTCTGTGGGGAATTGATCGCTTCTTGATAGAAGAGGGCCCAGCCCATTGTGGGCAGTGCCACCCCTGGGTGGGTGATCCTTACTGCTGGTATTAGAAAGCAGGCTGAGAACACCATGCAGAGCAAGCCAGTAACCTGTGTTCCTCCGTGTCCTCTGCTTCAGTTCCTGCCCCCATGCTCCTGCCTTGAGTTCCTGCCCTAACTTCCCTCAGTGATGGATTCTTTACCTGGAAGTAGAAGATGAAATAAACCATTTCCTCCCCCCCCTCCAAGTTGTTTTTGGTCATGGTCTTTATCACAGTAAAAGGAAAAAAATAACTAATGCAGCACCCTCTGCTGTCCCTGAACATGTTTGACAGGAAGAGGCCTGAAGGATCAGACAGGCCCAATCAACGCATGAGGTGTAGACCCACACTGGTCATTTAAGGATGTGACCCAGAACCCAGCAAACATGTCACAATATGAGAGCAAGCCAAAGGTTATGAATCTCATCAGTAAATTGTCAGCCAAGTTTGGAGGTCAAGCGTAAGGTCAAACAGAGCCCTTGCTGAATGAAGAGCAGCTTCGCTCGCTTACTGGATGCTGCAGTGACACAAACCAGTGTACCTCTGACCTCATCGGGAGAGCTGGGGTGCTTTGAAGACTATCCCTACCCTTCTGCATCAAATGCGGCTGAAGCATTTTACTGTGGTTTGCCATTAGGGTCTTCATTCAGATAATGTTTTCCTACTAGGAATTATAAACACTTTTCAACCTTAAACATGCTTTTTAAAAATTTAGGGGGTACTAATTCCTCCATTTTTCTTTACTAATCTTTTTGGGGTTTTCCTTTGAATTACTGGGCAAGGAAGCTGAATATGGTCGACGTACTGCTCTCATGAATGGAAATAAATATTTGTTAGTGGAAAGCAAGTAAAACCCATTTAAGTTGATTGAGTTGGGGAGAAAAAAGAAAACTTGCTTTTGAACTATTGTGGTTTTCCCGTCCCCTTCATCATGACAAATAAAGTTCCTATATAATATTTCCTTGCATTCTTCTCAAAAAATGATCTTTGCTTTTAACTGAATGTCTGTACAGTTAATGTCTGAAACTCTACTACAGGAGTTTCTCGCTTGCTGGAGAAAGAGAAGAGGGAAAGAGCACAGAGACCAGGAACTAGGCTATTTGCTTCCAAATATAAGAAACAACCCGTAACACTTGCCATGGCCAAGAACGGGTAGGAAGTGTAGCTGCAGGCATGCCAAAGCTGGTGTTGCTGTTTCAGACTGGATATTAGAAAGTACGGGAGAAGAGGCTTTCCCTAACGAGCTGCAAGAAGTCAACACTCCAGTGGCACTGAGGACCCCCACCGCAGAGCCATGCCCTCTGCTGATTTCCTCAGTGCCGTCTTCCCTACCCTTCAAGATGAAAGCCCCCAGCAGAATTTGCACACACTGCATAAGCCAGAGCCAGTCACCTGAAGCCTCAAACAGATGTGACAGAAATAAACTCAACTTCTTTTTTTGCCAAATACAAAAATCATATCAAAACAGCTTCCCAGTGGAGAATAATCTCCTTGTGCGGCTTCCCCAGTTTCACAGGGATGCTCGGGCAGAAACCCACCCATAAACAAGAAACAAGCTGCTAAAAAATTGATGCCCTGGCATTTAATCCAACTCCATGAAGAACACTCCTGGATCAGAGTTCTAGAAGTGTCTGGCTGAGGAATGGATGCATCTTACAAGTTTAGGATTAGTTGGAGGTAAGGGGCTGTCTTAATGTAAATGATAGATTTTCCTGGGACTGTTAAGAGTGCTACCATATCTGGGCAGATATGAAGAATTAGAGAATTTTAGGAAGTGAGGTATAGGGATTTTGAGGTTACTACACCTGAAATACATGTCTAAGTGAACAATGTACTAGCTGGGTGAATCATTTATTTTAAAAATATTTATTAGATGGATTTACATTCCTTTTATATGTGTGAGCATTTTGCCTGTATGTATGTCTGTACACCATGTCCCTGGTGTCCATGGAGGCCAGAGGAAGGTATTGGATTCCCTGGAACTGGAGTTACAGACAGTTATAAGCTATCATGGGGTACTGGGAATCAAACCTACATCCTCTGGAAGAGTGCCTTTAATCACTGAACCATACCTCCAGCCCCTTTAATTACTTATTTAAACTTTCAGAGTCTTCACTCAATCCCCATAAGTAAATTTTTGAGGAAGTTATCAATGCTGTATATTGTAAATAAACAAAGGAAGTCTCAGAGAAGTTAAGGTCTTACGGTCACAGCCACTAAGTTGCAGGACAATAATTCAAGCATAGATTTATGTAGTTATTTGATAGAAATGGTCCCCATAGGCTCATAGGCAGTAGCACTATTAGGAGGTGTGGCCTTGCTGAAATAGGTGTAACTTTGTTGGAGGAGGTGTGGCTTTGTTAGAGGAAGTATGACATTTAGGGTGGGTTTTGAGGTTTCAGATGCTCAAGCCAAGCCTAGTTTCACTCTCATCCCAACTCTCAACTCCCTCTCTAGCACCATGCCTGCCCGCCTGCTGCCATGCTAAGAATGGACTAAACTTCTGAGCTGTAAGCCAGCCCCAGTTAAATGTTTTCCTTTAGAAGAGTTGTCATGGTCATGGTGTCTCTGCACAGCAATAGAAACCTAAGACAGAAGTTGATACAAGGTACTGGGGTATTGCTGTGATGGGCCTGACCGTACTTCTGTTTGGAAGAATATGGGCTTTGAGACTTTGTATTTAAAAAACATCTGAATGCTTTAAGTAGGCCTTAATGGACCATACTAGTAGGAGCATGAAAGGCAGTAGTGCTGAGGGTGTTGTGAACTGTGGGGGCCTGGCACATGGGGTTTCAGAGAAGAGTATTAGTAGGTTGCCTAGAGATCATTATTATGAAGTTTTGGTGAAGAATGAGGCTATTTTCTGCCCTTGTTAAAAAAAAATCTGCCAGAGGCTAAATTAAAAAATTATGGATTAACAGCTTTGGCAGAGAACATTTTCAAACAATTTAGGATTAACTGCCTTATGTGGTAATTAGTGGCAAGTCTTATGCAAATCTATAATGAAAACAAGCAAGCTGAACAAAAAAATTACAAAATGTCCAGTTGGATGAAAAAGGGACACCAGGAAGTGTAAACAGATTAAAGAAAAGCCTGATGCTAAGTGGAACAATGGGAGTGGTGACCTCAGAGCAAGACCACACCCAGCTAAGCTTCCAGTTTGTGAAAGGGGGTGAGAGAAAAGTTTAGGGCCAGGTGTGGTGGTACACACCTTTAATCCCAGCACTCAGAAGGCAGAAGCGGGCAAATCTCTGAGTTCAAAGTCAGCCTGGT